AGAGAGAGGGAGAGAGAAAGAGAGTATTTTCACCACGCGTTTCCAAATCGTGAAAATCGGAAATATTTATTTAAAATTTTCCTTCTCGTGCAAATTTGTGTAACGCAGTTTTGCCGTGTGAGAGATAACGCACGCAAAATTTAAATAAATAATAAAATTTCAATAATCCTGTCAAAAACGCGAAGTTTTTCACGTCATTGTTCATACAAAGCAAGAGGGTATGAAATTTTTATTTTTTTTTAATTTTCCTTTTTACGAGAACGAGCGCTCTCTCTATTTTCCCGCCTTGTATCTTAACTTGTATCGAAATCGCGGAGCCCCCAGTAAAAGGCGCACTTCGTGCGGCAGATGGAAGTCTTATCAGCGATTTTCTGAGGTCGCGTCACCGCCATCGGGAAAAAATAGAAGCCTCAAATGACCACGCCTTATTGCTATCGATCCCCGTAAGATCGCGGCAAACACCGAGGACACAATTTCGGGTTTCGAGATACGTTAAATCTTGCGTATAATAAATGTGAAAATCCTGTGAAAATTACAATGGCGGTTACAGGCGTTATCATCTCGACTTAAGACTCTACCACGAAAGTCTGGCTTATGTTTGATCGCAATTTTCGCGAAATTGAAACGACAGGTACAGTCGACACCTGTTCACCAGACTTCTGCCAGTCTCAGCCGATTCGAAATCGTATGTATATCGAATTATATGTCATCGTGAGTCGTCAGGGAGGATGATCCGAGACTACTACTTTCATTTTCTTTACGAAGACGGCTGAGTTTAGCGATGAAGTGTGCGCACCAACTTCCCCACGAACACGATAAAATCATTTCACTGCGGGGGCGGCCGAGCGAATGAAAGAATCCTCCTCGAGGTGAGGGTGCGTCTTAATCCACTCCTTAAAACACGTCTCACGGGCACGCAACGGCATAATAGAATCGTGCTTACTTTTCTCTTTCTCCGGCAAGAAGTGGCAATCGGCAGAAAATTCAAGAGAAATGGGTAGACGCGAGCAAGTGAGCGAGCGGGAGAGTGCGAATGAAAAGCTCCCCTTAATCTTTCTTCTGAAATTGCGCCCGGTCGTAAAGTTCCGCGTATTGTACTCGCTGGACGAGATATTAAATTACGGCAGAAAAGAGAGCATGAGAGAGAGAGAGAGAGAGAGAGAGAGAGAAAGGGAGAAACCGAGCAGATGTGTTCGTCCGTTTCTTCGGTAACTCGCGGAACTCACGCGCCGCAAGTTTCACCTCGCGATCTTGTCGTAATTAACTCTTCAACTCGTGTGGAACAAAATTCCCGTTAGCGAATTTCTCTTGCCTTTTCTATCTGAAACCACAATCACGCGCGGTATCATTGCCATTTTGATACGGCAGTAGATGTCTTTTTTCGCCAATCAAATTTTAGACGCGATCTGCTCGCTTGAAACTCTTCGGTAACTAACTCGTCGTTTCATTCGATCCTTTCAAAAAGTCGCGTGATATCGCCGGGAAAAATGAATTGTCCGCACGAAATACGTATTTATAAGTTCATACGTCACGTATGTGTATGCCTATGTATTGTCCTGCGTGACGTCCTGCCCGACAAACATGTATCCGATTGACTCGTCAAAAACAATTCATGTCGCAACGACAGACACACAATCTATTCACTCAATTTCTTTTTTTCTCCTATAACGCATAATCTTAGAACTGATATCCCGCGAGCGTGTTTGTCACGTTACAGAATATTTGCATCGTCGTTGCGCGCGCGCGCGCGCGAGCCTCGATAAGATATATGGAATGAAGCAGGAGCTTCTTTGCGTGCGCGCCGTGACAAAATCGGCGGAACAAATCGATGAGAGAAATTCCCCCAGGTCTGTGTACGTGTTCTCCTTTTTTCTTCTCTTTCTTTTCTCTTTCCATTCTCCCCCTCGCTTTTCGCAGAAAATGACCGTAATTATACGGCGTTCGCGTACCGCACCGGCAGGCGCCTTGTTATCGGCATGTCGGACGAAAAATTCCGAGTAAAGCGGAACGCACCGAGTGCCGGACAGGCGACATCAAACGCCCATAAAACGCAATTAGCCGCGACTAATAAAACGCTCGACGTTACCGGAGCTCGTGACACGGCACGGACTGTGAATTATGCGCTAACGAGAGACTAATTTCCTCGCCATTCGATATGACGTCGCGATACGCGTGCTCACCTAAGGATGTATTGCCCATAACTCAAAATAACAAAAAAATTATGAAAAAATGACAAATTCATTTTACGCTGCATTTAAAAGTGACACCAAAATTTGGTTCAGTAATTCAGAGCCCGATTATACCTCTTTCTATTATCTGTACATCTCTATTAACACGTTGACTGCCAACTACAAGATATCTCGTAGGTTGTTTACTTGCTCAGGACGCCAATTACGAGTTATCTCGTCGCTTCATTACTTAAATTAAATCAAATTGGCTTCTTAGACCAGAATCGTGAAAAGTTCCGTGGCAGTCAACGTGTTGAGTTTGGTTGTCCATTGTCAGATTCAACCAAACTCATTTTTCCGTGTACTAGAAAAATGTTTCTCTCTTGTCTATAATTCTTTATCACTACTATGATATATAATTACAAATATCAAATATTTTTCTCTCAGTGCATACAGAAACAACGTATACGAAGTGACCAGGTTGATTTCTTTTTCCTCTTTAGAGGTAGAGACGGAGAGAAGGTAAGTAAACAGATTAAGAAATTTATCGACCGAAGTATAGTCAAGTAATCAACGAGACGCCGGATCCGACGTGACCGGACGAGAAGGTCGCGTAATCGCCGTTTCGCCGTTAGAGAATAACAGGGTAGCGAACGAACTTTCCTCGCTCACCGAGTCCTTGCGCGATAAGTAAACGATCGAGCTGGATTAACGTACTGAATAATAACTATCGCTCAGCGGATGAATCTAACTCGGACGGAGCTGATTGAACGCGCACACCGCAGGTAGAACGCTCGCTGTCTTTGCTTCAAATCGGTTTCCAACCGAGTTCGAAGTGTTACCTGACACACACACACGCACATGCATGCAAATATAAATGCATACACACGTCTCATCCGGGCGAATGCGCGGGATGTTTTTAGTTCTGTGTTAACGGAGGTGATACGAACGGAAAGCCCGATACGTCGAATTCCGTACAGGTGAGGCGAAGGGTCATTAGGGGGAGAGGGCGGGAAGGGGGAAGGAAGAGGAATAGAGCGCTTTTGCGTAGCTCGCAGGAGATCAATCGAGGATCGATTCGCGCTCGCTAATAATGTATAACTGATACTACAGCCTGCGCCCTGTGGACGTATAACGATGCGCATACGTGAATCATTACGTTTCTCCGTTACCGCCGGTATGCAAACCGATTTAATGCCAGCCAAGGCCGTGCAGCAGTTAATCCTCGCTGCTGTTCCCTACCGTCCGTCTCACCCACGGCCCTTCAACCGCTTTCGTAACGCGACGATATGGGAATTATTATTGCTGTCCTTCGCTTTGCGCCACCCGTTTTATTGCGCGCATCTCGCATGCACCGCAAATCGATATACGTCAGTGCTAACATAATCGTACGTTTAATTATACGCAGCGTGCAGCCGCACATCGATCGACCGTGTTCGCGATCTCGTTAATTAGCCAAACGCTTGCGCTCGTTTGTAAAAAGCTCAAAGAGATGATATATTTGAACATTTTGCCGATGAAATACATTTTATTTTATACAAAGTTGACGTATCGCCGCTGTGCAGAATTATATAATTGCTTTGACACAATGAAAGTGCGCGCGAAAATGAAACTGAACATTGCTCAATACGCGAGGAAAGCGATTAAAAATGTCCACACTGACATCTCTAGGTGTCAGTTAGCGTTAATATGATACCGTCGAGCTTGTAGGCCAGAGTGAAAAATCTCGAAATCTCATTCGATAACCTCATTTTCAACAGGTTCGTCAAATGTTCGTTAAAATCGGAAACATATCCTGCGCAATAGTTATTAAATAATAATGATTCCACATACCTGAAAATACACGATGCATCGTTACCAGCATCCTGGCATTCTGCGTTCTGGCTTTCCGCCGATCCAGCATCCTGTTCCCGGCTGTTCCATCGTTCCACATACTCGTTCGTCATGTTAACTCTGACACCGACACTCGCGTGAACACGATTCGATCGGAGAAACGAGTGTTAATTAACGCGATGTCGACGAAAACTTGATTACTTTGCACGTGACGCGCGCTTTCGATCCGTTTCGTAAGGATGACAAGATGGCCGACGTCGTTTCGCCAAAGTCCTTTGAACTTCACGTTAGAATACCGTTCCGACATCTCGCGTTCGTGATTCGTTATAATCAGTTAAGCCAACATCGTAACCAGGCACATGATAAGTTCACACGGTAGTAGTACGAGCCGATGGAAAACACGTCGTTCTCTAACCGAAACCGTTGTGTACGACACACTGATACACGTAACACTACAGACATAATATATTTAGACCAGAGTTCGGCAAGCGATGCATTTTCCAGCCGATTTTAGGAAGACTCCGTCTCGCGTTGTTCCCAGATTCCCTTGCGCTTCGTCGTCCCGCGCGTAACCGACGAGAGTTTCAGGAGCGTGGTTATCTTATAGAGAAAAATAAAAAATCCCCGTGGATCATTTGTTAAAGATATTATATTTCTTATTAAAATTTTATTTCAATTGTGAATATCTGCCTTCAATAGTTTCCCACGTCACTTATGAGGTACTATTGCTTACGCGTCTTTTTTAAGTAGTATCCCCAATAGGCTCAGTCCACTGACAATTGAAAAGACTAACTATTGAAAATAAATATTCACGGTTAGAATGAAAATTTAATAAGAAATATAGCATGTTTAAAATAATCCATAGATCTTTTGATTTTTCTCCCTTCCGAGCCCCATAGCATGATATGCGATGACTACGCTCTTGAGACTCGAACGGCCCGTCGGGTACGCTCGGATCGACGAAGCGCAAGTGCAACTGGGAACAGCGCGAGACGGAGTCTTCCGAAAATCGGTTAGAAAGTACGTCGCTTGTCGAACTTCGGTCTGGATATGGTATGTCTATGCGTAATATTCCGAACGCGTCGCGACGTGTTCGTCGATCTTCTCGGAACATAACGACTTGGTTAGCGCGACGCGCGCGAGGACTGTAACAATGGGCAAAAAGTCACGTCATATTTCGTGAATCGACAAGCGTCATAGGCCGCCAACGGCCGAGCGATTATGACGGATCAACGCTCAAAACAATCGTGACCTTCACGAGGCGGTCAAACGTACTCTCGTGCGATATAGACTTTTGTGGCAGTTTCTGTTGTGTTTCGAGACGCCCAGTGACTCGTATGTTATAGAATACGTGTGTCGATAGGTTAGTTATCACTTGAGTGGTTAAAATATTTCGTCGGCTCTTGAAATACGTGACGGCCATTACGTTACCGCGCGTTTCTGCGATCGAATTGTCGTATTTACGAGAGTGTCAGTGCCAGTGAATATTCGGATTAACACGACGGAACAAGCCAGGATGTTGAATCGGGAAGCAGGACACTGAGACACAGACAGCGATATATCATATATTTCCAGGTGTGTGAAGTCATTCATTACACAAGTGATCTCTGAATTTGCACAAATTGGAATATTGTCACTAATAGGAACATCCACCTTATGATAAAACAGAGTACCATACATTCATCGCATTCACGTTTATATCGCAATTTCTCTCTCTTTCTCTCACTCGCTGAGATAATTAATTCTCTTCAGTCAACGGTCGCTCTCGCCGGCGGCGGGAAATTCTGAAAATACTTTGTGCCTACTTCGGCGCCGCCTTCGTGAACGACTGTACCCTCAGGCTCGATGTTTCGCGTTAACTAGTAATGAAAAATCAATAATCCAATAATCCCGAATTATATAATTAGAAAGTGAATCAGATCGGTGCGAAGAAGTCGCGTCCCCGGAGGAAACATAGCGGTCGAAAGAGTGAGGCTACTTATTCTCCGTTAATCGACGAAAATCAGTGGAACGAATCAATGTGTGTGAGAAGTCAGCCGGCGAGAAATGCGCTCGATTTTGACGGAAAATTGAATTCGACCCGCCGCGAGATCTGGTAACTATGCTGAGTCGAGAAATCCGTTGGCACTGTTATTCCATGCAAGTTTCAAGCCGATCAGTTCCCCTAAGCGCGGACTTCTACATCATCCTTGCGAACCCTTCGCAGTTCCGAACTTGCTTTAACGTTCGCGCGCCAAGAAACGCTGCACGTATCTACGCCAAAACGAATCATCGGCTTTACCGCGTCGCTGACGTCAAGAACGCGACGAGCGTGAAGTGAAGCGACGGGCGGGAATTTAAGTTCCGCGCCTTTCCCAAAATAATTACGGTTCACGGCACGTAATGATGCGCGGCTTAATAAAGCAAGCGGACGAATGAGTGAGCGTTCAAGTTGCCAGTGACTGCGGACAGACCGGGACAGACATTTTAATGCCAATCTGACGTAGCATCGCCCTAGTTGTCGCATGCCGCATGGCATGTATAGGTATACCACCACCGTCGCGATACACGAGGTCATATCCATCCGGGTGTATAAGTACGAGGGCGCACACCGACGTGTGTAGATATGTGCACGACGACGAGCGCGCGAGCGACCCTTTTCCACCGGCGAATCGATACTATCGATCGCCCGAAACCGTCGTAATCCATGCCGTGGAAAATGCGTCGCACGGATTAACCCTGAACGACTGATGTGTGGGGTGTGATGAACCCCCGTCGTCAAGTAGCGGAGTCGTCTAGAGATCTCTTCAACGTCATCAGAACGACGACGCGGAAGAAAATAGCTCACCCGACTCACCCTCGCGATTTTCCCTTTCTCGCGTGCGGAAAACTCGTATTGAATAACGTAGCATACACACACAGAAGATAAGTGATAGATTCAAGTAGATAATTACTCCAATACTCCGTAGCAAAATTTTACTCGGATCAAGTAATATTTACTTAATCCAAGTCAAATGTTTTCCAATTATTTAAGTGAAATATTCACTCGATCCAAATAAAATATGCCATTTTTTATAGAGAGCCATTTTTCTCAGTAAATATTACTGTAATGTCAGTAATACGCTTATAAACATGTTACTACTACTATTTTTCTGGTTAAAACCATAATAAGGGTGCGATTGAGAGCGAAAAACGGGATATACGTCGTGGCATGGACCATAGTTTCTAGGCAACGATTTCCAACTGCAATCGCGTAGTCCGCGTTGTTTCATAAATGTCCTATACTGCCTTGAAATTGTTTCGACGTTATAAGTTTACCCTACATAGAGAAAAAAAATACTTAAAAGTTCACCCGAGGGATATAAAGTTTATTTCACAGAAATAAGATTTGTTTCTGTAAAATAAGGTTTATTTCTGTGAAATAAACGGAGGTGATCGGTTGATTTGGGCGGTTGATAGGTTTACGACATCCGAAGCCGGTCGATCTCGCGCTGGCACGCAAACAGATATTTACGCAGTATTTTTTGCGTTTCTACTTTATTAGAAGGTACGACCGATGTATCATGATTTATCTCGCTCGACTTATCCGATGAGAGGAGAGTCACCGTCCCGTAAATTCGTATTTGTCTTACACGATGTAGCGCGGCGAGGCACGGCGGGCGAGGAAATGGCAAGAGAGGGAGAGAGAGAGAGAGAGAGTCGATTTTTGTAAGTAGTCTGACATCGGTAAAAACGAAGAGATATATCTGCGAGTTATAAAGTTACGCGAGAAAGAGTCGTCCCGCGCGAATGATAACGATGTATCTTCTTATAAGAGATAAATTCGCTCCCACCGGGACATCGTTGCCGCCGGATGATTCCCGCCCATATCGCGCATGTCTTCTCCTTTACGAGAGTTCTCCCGTAAAATATATTATGAAAACTGGAAACACGAAGAATTACTTCAAAAATTACGCAAGTTAGCTCGGCAAACAATCGCTCGGGACGAAAGCCACGATCAATTATGCTAATATTATTGTTAGCTCACATGCGGGGGGTATGCATTCCTACCGCCGGGTCTAATGAGCCTTAGAATGCTAATTCGGTCGAATGTTGCAATCGGTAAGTAAGCATCGGGTAATTATGCAAATAGAGCAGCGAGAGGGAAAACGGCTACGTATACGGCAATGTTTATCGCGAGCACACTCAAAGCTCACCGGCTTTCGCGCCGTATGGCGGCTTTGTACGTGAGCGCCATTCGGGAATCCTTAATAAAAGAACTGGAGCAGCTTCCCTTCATAATGTTGCCAAATTTATTCCCCTTCGCGCCGCGCTACCATTCCGAGATAGCGTTACTATGTAGCATGAAAAAATATGTATTGTTTTTATTATACCGAGTGTAAGATTCCACGAAAATTTACGTTCTTTCACTGAAATTATATGCAGCATTTTTCGCTCCTCCTCTCCCCTCCCCCTCTGTCTCTCTCTTTCTCTCGTTCTCGAAGCGACCCTCCACTTTCTGCATTTTATCATTTAAATTATTTAAGTCATCCCTGTTCTAATTCTTGTCCGGCGTATATTTGGTCTAAAACCTTCAAGCAGAATGGCCGATTAGTGGGTTGTAAAACAGTGTCCCTTGATAACCGCCCTTTGTACCGTGGAAATGAAAGTCGCAGCTGGATTTTGTGGGATAATCCATCCTTCGTCCAGCTCTTGCTTATCAGTTACAATAACAACGCAATCTTGCGTGACACGTGATCCCGAGACTGGAATATACGCGAATTTCGTGAAATTCGTTCCACTGTTGGGGGTCATTTTAACGTTTTCTTCAGCGCCGCGAGAAAAGTGCTGGCTTCTCGTCGGTGCGATGCACTTCAAAGCCAAAGACGAAACGCTTCGCAAGGCGCAGTCGAGTGCGAGAAATCGAAATGTTCGGTTGAACGAGAGAAGGTACTTTAAGAGTTAAAGCGTCAATATTAAAGCGCGCAGATCTCACGGCTCGTCGTTAAAGTAAAACAAACGGGAGGTTGCAACATGAGCCGTTCGCGGAGCGCGTTTCTTACTTTCCGCGCTTGGAATTTTACGCTTCGTCAACCGACCGCTCGAACTAGCCATCGGAATCGGAATAGAAATTGAACCTCGTAAGTGATTTAGTAAATTTGCGTCTAACATCGCTACTAGTCAGTAATCCTGAGTCGAAATTTTAAATTCTACATTAAGTTCTTAAGTAGAGAAAAGTAGAGAAGTAACTTCCCACTTCTAGCATCAAAGGAACACTGTAAGTGCTCTTTTAATATTAAGGCATACGTTCTGAAACACTTATATAGTTAACACTACAATGGCTGGATCACAAAGCTGATTCTACATTCTAATGAATAATCAGCCAATAATGAACTAGCAACGAGTTAGAAAATTTAATTTAACCTATACTCTTTTTAGCCCAGGCCGATCTTTCTACTCGGAACGCGTTACATAGCTTTAATCTGGGTAAACTGGATTTGCCCGTCCCGACGAAGAAAATCCGTCGCGTTTTATCCGCGTTCCCGCTGCGTCGGCGTTCAACGGCCACCTTTATCGCGATACTTCCGTGAGGAATTGCGACGTCGGCCGCGCTGTTTGCGCGATGATAAGGACCGAGTAAACTCAGCGTAATTAGACCACTGTGCACTTGACCCTTTCAGGGTTGCAAACGCGACCTCCTCTTCAACTTAACGTTAAGCTCACGTCGGAACAATACATTCTCCTCTCTCGGATATTTCGTCCTTTATCGTGCGAGCTGGTTTAAAATCTTTTCGTTGCTCCGATTTCGATTTTGCACGACGCGGATGTAAAATACACGAAGGAGAAAATCAGAGAAGTAGGATAACAGTGTATATCGGAGATGCATCGTTCCGGAACGTCATTGTTCGGAAGTTCCTCGATATATGTTTTCTTCGTGAAGGAAGAGAAAAAGAAACATATACTATGCTATTTATAAAAAACGGAAGGAAAAGACAAGACAAAAGAGAAAAGGAGAAATACTCGGTGCAATTTTTTTTTAAATTACGACGAATAAAACGGTATATATGACGACGTATGACGAGGGAGACGCCGTCGCAAATGCACAAACAATGACATACATGTAGCCCAGATTATGAAACGTCGCCCGCGTCTAAAGATGATAAAATCGCAACTTACGAGTTAATCTCCGCCGCGGAATTACTTAAACTTCCATAATCTCGCGAGAGATGAACATCGTGTTACATATTGATGAAATATCTGAAACTTTAAAACCCCGCCAACGCGATTACGTGAGATCCAGTCGGTTTTAATAACCGAAAACGGCTGAATAAACGAAACCGTTGCGAAAATAAATTCAGAAGAAAAACGCGATCACACTTTTATGTAAATTAATCGGTACCGGAGAAAAAATATCTCACGCTCACGCAATATTTCATACCTACGGTTATCCAGTTATCCAGTATAAAGTGCGATCTACATTTGCGACAATTCTTATTCCTTGACCTTTGGATTATTAATTCCTCTCTCTTGCTCGTGTTGAAATCGCTTTTAAAGTAAATTACGAAAAATAGCCAAAACAGAAAAAATTTTGGGAACGAAACACGTTCCAGAAATCGCAGTATCGCCCCTTGCGAATAAGCTATTTATAACAACAGAGGTGGCTCAAACAATGATATATAAAAATCGGAGGATTGTATAAATAGAGAGAGAGAGAGAGAGAAAGAGAAGGGGAGGGGCGAGAGGGAGCAGAAATTTTGCTGCGTATGAAATAAGTTATACGACTAAAACTTCCTAATCTCTTCTGTTCGAGTCGTTCGGGGAGCATGGAAAGTAACGGAAAGTTCGATTGAAACTGTGATTTACATTTCGATCTTGTTCCATTACAGCTTCGAGTTAGTTGAAATAACGTGTTACACGTGAAACGTCGTCCGGTAACGCGGTCGCGATGTTTTATTCTGCTATCGATCTGATTACGAAAGCACGATGATATTTCGCGGGCAGAATTTACTCTGTTTTCCCCGTAACATAATCGATCGATGTAATACTATTAATTTCTCGCTGGGATATTAGCGTGGCAAAAATGCATTATCGTAAAAGGAAACACCACATGCGAATCGCATAATCTAATTAACTCTGCAAAACCGGCCGAATCGACCTACTCCGGAAAACTAGTCGCGCTTACTGTTCTCTTACGATATCTCATAAAAGCAGTTTAACGAGTCTTTTCTGCGCTTCCAAGGAAAACAAAAAAGGAAGAATTAGCGCGCTATCGAACTAATTACGTGCGAGGTCGATGTGCGTATGAGTCGATCGCGGTCATGTTAATAACATTATAATCGATTCGTGGGGAGTATTAACGCGCATTATAAACCTATTTATTCTTCGGTACGGTGAAGTGAATGTAATACCGTACCGTGTGCGACATATTGTTATTCTATATTCCAATTATTAATATCATCAACGTTTGATCGCGTCTCGCGCACCCGTCGATTGGGAATTAGGGATGACATTTCGATAAACTACAATCGAACTAAAGTTTCATCGCACGTTTCCGTCGAAGTATCAATATTTATTCACTTATGCGCACCGTGCGCATATTTATCAAATTAATATCGTGAAAATTGCGTGGTACAATCGAATTCGTTATTTACGTTTTCCAAACGTGACTCCGTAGATTTCTGCGACGGACGGTTGTGTTACAATCGTTCAATGGTTTGTGGTGGACGACATCGGTCGGTCGGTAGGGATTACAGATATAGTAGAAAATATCGATATTTTGATACGTATCATAAATAAAAATATCGGCTTAACTCACGCGATTCTTCCCTGAAAAGCTTTTACATCTCGCGAGCCAGCTAATTTCGCGCGGAGTTAATTAAGTTTTTGAGCGGCTTGTAGCAAGATGACCCGCTGGAATATTCAGCTGGCATATGCTATTCACGTTATCCCACGGCAGTTTCGCGCAAAGAAAGAGAAAGAGAGAGGCGAAGAGAGACAGTTTAATGAATAGCGATTCATTTATCGGACGTCGGCGTTGTAAATAGTTTAAACCGCCGCAGTGAGCGCGCGCTCATCCGTCGGTCTGATGAAGGCGGCAGTGGTGATACGGATAAAAATTGATACGTGATAAATCAAAAGAGCGGTCCGAGCTATAGCCAGCTCGTGCGGAGCGCACGTTTACGCCTGAGATGCGCTTTCAATTAGGCCATCGATAAAATCGCGCAACCTGTTATCCTCTTGGCGGTGCGCTCGTGCGCGCGCGCGAGATGAACAAAAACGAAGGCGAGACGCGAGCGCGTACGCGTGGTAAATTAATACGTTCGTCCGGGAAAAACGCGGCCGTCGCGCCGGCCGTCGTTCTCCGGGTGCGATTGTAGAATCGGCAGCGGGACGAATATTTATTAAGTGTAGCGAGAGCGCGTGCAATTTGCATTTCGCGCGTGTGTCGGGCGCGTCTAATTGAATTCTCCAGCCGTGTCCGGGAGGGATGTTCACGTTTTCTTCTATCGGCGGCCGGCATCGAGCAATCGCGTGGAGTCGTATCCGACTAAATGATCCCTTTGAGAAGAAACGACGACGAGTTTAATGTCTCCGAGAAAATTGAAGCGACGACTCGTGAGAGCGTAGACGGGAAACACGATACGCTGATTGTACGCTGTTGATTTATTAATATTTTCCCCTCGGCAAGCAATTAAAGCTAACGCCTTGGCCTCGTATTAACAGACGTTACTCGATACCTGTCTCGCATGATTTATTCGAACCTGAATTTATAGTGCCAGATCTGAATTCTTCATTTGAATCGTACGATACGTGTAACGTTATACTTGTAACCGCGATTCAATTGAAAAATTCACGTTTAATTGCAATGTCAAATTTGAATGTAATGTATGAAACGTAATAAATATTTGCTAAAGAGTATTGGAGTAACCATTTTATTTGGATCGAATAAATATTATTTGAACAGTAGCACTTTTTTCTTTCAGTGTATAAGTTTCAAGTAACTCCTACTAATGCATAGTTGAAAAATATCGCGTATATGCTTCCTTGAATATCGTTTTTTTCAGCCATTTGTTCGGCATTCGATGTTTCGAGAGCGATTTCCGCCGCGTACATTCCATCGTGCTTCTCGCGTGTGCTTTATCGTGCATGATACAAAAAAGCGAAAGTGGACGAGAAGAAAGACGGATATTCTCCATCTTGACCGCGATACAATGGTCGGCGACTATAAATGAAAAGTAACGTCTGACGGTATCGGCCTATACAAAAAGCGCGTAATTTAGGTAAATGAGAATCGATATCTATTCCGGGACTAAGTGCTAACTGTGCTCTTTGACAAATGGCAACGTGTTATGAAAAATGTATGTCGCATATAGTACAAGCGTCAGCGAATGTTCCATGTTTCGTGTTTGCTAGACCGTTATCGCTCACGGACGTTTCGTAAGCAACTTCCCCGGCCTCCGAAAATATACTTTCAAGCTTTACATTTAAATTTTAATTATGCTCTTATACATATACATTTTATCGCGATTACCTGTGTGCAAAGTTATTTGATCGTTCCGTAAGAAAAGAGAAAAGAACAAACGTAAGAAAGAAGACGAGAAGAATAACGAAGTGGTAATTCTCTCTCATACAACCAGTCACAAAAAAATTGCAACATTTTTTGTTTTATAAGTATCGCAACGCATCCCGTGTCCAATATGAGAATTTCGTTTTCAATAATTCTCAAAAATGACCTCTGAAAGTTATTTTATTGTCATTTCGACATCATTCTATTGTGACTTTGTTCTGCGTGGGACACGCGATTTCCACGCTGCTTCGATATATCCCTTCGCGAAATCGTGCGCGAAAATAACATTATAAAAATACGCAGATATTCGTGAATATATCATTGGAATAATTGATACTCGCAGTGTCGTATTAACTCGGTTGAACGATAAGGAGGGGAGGGGG